CTCGTTACTGTAATCAACCTAGGAATTCCGTGGTATGACGTAGCTGTCTGCCTCCTTGGTTGCTGCATCGTGTGTTCGGCAATAGTGCTGCTAGACAGTGTTTCCAGAGATTAAGGTCGTGAAAGAAAAAGAAAAACAACCAAACGGGAAGCCCCTAGTGCGGTTTAGGCCGCGTCTTGGGACGTGCCGCAGTTGTGCCCCCCTCCCCACCTTTTCCCATGGTATTTTTAATGCGTAATTATGTACGTGCGACACGAGTTTCGCCGCTGGGCTAGGATTGGGGTGGACACCGCATTGCTATGCGAGCTCAGATCGCGCCAGGCGGTCTATTTGCCGATTGCCCCGAGCGTGCTTGAAGGTGTCCGGGCTGTGAAGCGCCAAACTGGTTGATTGCCTTGAGAGGCTGCTTTGCGTTTCTGCTGCGAGGGCTGCGGTGTGCTCCTTTGTTCGGAGAGAGCACTCTGTCTTTCCATTGACTGTGATAACTCCGTGAGGTCCTGGCATCTTGAGCTTGAGGTATGCATAATGCGGTACCACATTGAATCTAGCAAATGCAGTTCACCCGAGTAGCGCGTGATAACCACTGCGAAACGGGACTATATCGAAGATTAACTCTTCGCTTCGAAAGTTATCCGGGGATCCGAAGACCACTTCTAGTGTAATAGAGCCTGTGCAATGGGCCTCTCCACCTGGAATGACGCCCTTAAAGGTCGTTTTTGTGGGTTTGATCCTTGAGGGGTCTATACCCATTTTGCGCACTGTGTCCTGATAAAGCAGGTCCAGGCTGCTGCCGCCGTTCATAAGGACTCGAGTGAGGTGAAATCCATCAATGATTGGGTCTAGGACTAGTGTGGTGAATCCGCCATGACAGATACTGGTGGGGTGGTCCCTGCGATCGAAGGTGATCGGACAGGAGGACCAAGGGTTGAACTTTGGGGCGACTGGCTCCAACGCATATACGTCCCTGAGCGCACGCTTCCGCTCCCTCTTGGGGATGTGGGTTGCGTATATCATGTTCACCGTCCGCACTTGCGGGGGAAACCTCTTCTATCCTCCAGTGTGCGGCTGCCGGGGCTCCTCCTCGTCATCGCTATGCGGCCCCTTGTCCTTGTTTTCGGCAATTAACTTGCCGGCCTGCTTGAACACCCAACAATCCCTGTTGGTGTGATTGGCTAGCTTGTCTATGGTGCCGTGTATTTGACACGAGCGATCGAGTATACGGTCCAAGCTGGATGGACCCGGCGTACTTTGTTTGAATGGCTTTTTCCGCTGACCGGGTTTAGAGCCTTTGAATCCGGCATTGACTGTCGTATCCTTAGTATTTTCGCTGTTAATGCGGCGCTTATGCTTGTTGCGACGTGACCTGCTATTGCCGTCCTTGGTATCTGAGGTACCATGGTTCTTTGATATGTTATTACTGCGAGCCAGCCAATTGTCTTCTCCCGCACAAAAGCGGGTCATGAGCGTCGTGAGAGCTGCCATAGATTTCAGCTTTTCCTGACCAAGGTGCCGGGCTAGCCACTCATCTCGGATGTTGTGCTTGAAAGCCGCTAAGGCCTCCGCATCCGGACAGTCGATGATTTGATTTTTCTTTGTAAGGAACCGAGTCCAGAATTGCCTGGCCGACTCTTCTGGCTGCTGAATTATGTGGCTCAAATCATTGGCGTTTGGTGGTCGCACATAAGTGCCCTGAAAGTTGTCGAGGAATGCGGCTTCCAGATCTTCCCAACAGCTAATGGAGTCCGCTGGCAAGCTGTTAAGCCAATGCTGCGCTGGTCCTTTGAGCTTTAGTGGGAGGTATTTGATGGCGTGTAAGTCATCGCCGCGGCCCATGTGGATGTGGAGGAGGAAGTCCTCAATCCATACTGCGGGATCTGTTGTGCCGTCGTATGATTCAATATTTACAGTTTTGAAACCTTCTGGGAATTGATGTTCCATTACTTCATCTGTGAAGCATAAGGGGTGTGCGGCGCCTCTGTATTGGGCTATATCTCAACGCAGCTTGAATGGGTCTTGCCCGCTGTGTTCGACCCGGTCGGATTTTCTTTTACTGTATCCGGCATGACGTTTGTTGTCTCGCAGAGTGGTGTGCCCTCGTGATCCGTAGATCGATCTTGAATGCTTTGCCTTGTCCTCCAATATGTCTCGCAGGTCTGGCGTATCTCCCCATGCCTTTTTATTTGAATGGCGTTGGGGTGGAGGCTGAGCTTTTGGCTGGAATGACTCTCTATCGCGGCCACGAGGTGGCCGATCAGCCGTATCATACGCTTCTTCCTCCAGTCGGGGTAGTAACCTGCGCCTTGGGTAACTCTTGGAGGGGCGCTCGAGTTTATATTCCTCGGCCGCGAGGACTTCAGTCCATTTATCAGCTAGCAGATCTTGATCAGCTTGAAGCTGCTGCTGCTTTTTCTTCATGCTATTTGCTGTGGCCATAAGCCGGCGCTTGAAGTGCTCTTGTTCGACGGGATCCTCTGGGATGGCGAATTCATCGTCGCCGAGGCTTGCCTCGTCTTTGGAGGGGGGGATGTAATTGTCATCCTCCTCCTCTCCGTCTGCCGCTCTCTCAGGAGAGCTGGCTCCTTCATCCTCCTGCTCTAAATCTTGCTGGAGGGGTTTGTTGTTTTCTTTGGCACTATCCGGAGTGTTATTATCTCCTATGCCAGTATCACCACTTTTGCTGTGGCGGGACTTAGAGCGGCGCCGCTGACGTCGGTGTTTGAGTTGCTTCTTGGAGGGGTCATCCTCCGCTATCCCGTCGCCATTGCCTTCTTTGGGTGTATCCACCATGTATATGTCATATGACGAGGTAGCTTTCCAGTGCCCTATAGGTGCTGGTTCATGTTCATCTCCGACATCGTCGTCCATACCGTCGATGTCTTCGGAGTCGAAGTCGAGCATGTCGGTTAAATCATCGACAGTGGCTACAAAGTGGGTGGTGGGTGGGCGTCGAATTTCTTCGTCGTCCGCATCCCAATCCTGTTGGCCATAATCCGGCCAGGGCTCTCCTGACAAAGAGAGAGAGACCTTAGTGAATTCACAATGTCGTCGAAGGGCGAGTGCTGAAAGATATCCGCGGCGGTGAATTCCATGATCGGCGCCCGATCGGATTCGATTGGTAGGGGCGCGGATGGTTCGGAGTCCGGAAAAGAGTCCGGCTCCTTGGAGTCACGAGCTGCGCAGAGGATTATGCTGGTGTTCGGCTCGATCGCCGTTGAGACTGCGGCCCCTGAGGCGGTGTCTAACCACCCGTCCTCGATTGGCGTAGTTGGCTCCGAACTAAGGGTCAGAGCAGATGCGGGCGCGGCCTCTGGTGTACTGTTCGGCGGCAGAGCTTGGTCATACCCATCGCGACAGTGCGGCGCGCCCGGCTGTGGCTCGAATCCGTCGAAGATCAAGTCTCCGTGGATGTCGGCCGTGTAGTTCAAACTTCCAAATCTGACCTGATGGCCAGGGGCGTAGCTTTCAATCTGCTCCAGATGGCCAAGCGTATTAGCCCGCAGTGCAAAGCCGCCGAATACAAAGATATGTCCGGGGAGAAAATTCTCACCCTGGACCACATCGCTATCGATGATAGCAAGAGCCATCAAGCCTAACGGCGACGACATAGAGGAACTCTCAATGAAAGCACCAATGTCGGTGTCAAAACCGGCGGATCTCGGGTAGGGGGTCCCGAACTGTGCATCTAGGCCGGATGGTAACAGGAGGCAGGGGACACGATGTTTTACCCAGGTTCGGGCCCTCTTGATGGAGGTAAAACCCTACGTCCTGCTTGATTGATATTGATGATATGGGTAGTACAAGAGTAGATCTACCACGAGATCAGAGAGGCTAAACCCTAGAAGCTAGCCTATGGTATGATTGTATGTTATGGTTGTTGTCCTACGGACTAAAACCCTTCGGTTTATATAGAGACCAGAGAGGGTTAGGGTTACACAAGGTCGGTTACAAAGGAGGAGATATCCATATCCGTATTGCCTAGCTTGCCTTCCACGCCAAGTAGAGTCCCATCCGGACACGAGACGAAGTCTTCAATCTTGTATCTTCGTAGTCTAATAGTGCGGCCAATGGAGATAGTCGGGCTGTCCGGAGACCCCCTAATCCAGGACTCCCTAACATAGGTTCATGGGCGGAACTCGCAAGTTGATCACCAAAACATACATCAAGTGAATAACGTGATATCCCATTGTCACCACAGATACGCACGGCAAGACATACATCAAGTGTTCTCAAATATTTAAAGACTCAATCCGATAAGATAACTTCGAGGGGAAAACTCAATTCATTACAAGAGAGTAGAGGGGGAGGAGAAACAACAGATCCAACTATAATAGCAAAGCTCGCGATACATCAAGATCGTGCCAAATCAAGAACACGAGAGAGAGAGAGAGAGAGAGAGAGAGAGATCAAACACATAGCTACTGGTACATACCCTCAGCCCCGAGGGAGAACTACTCCCTCCTCGTCATGGAGAGCACCGCATGATGAAGATGGCCACCGGAGGGGGATTGCCCCCTCCAGCAGGGTGCCAGAATGGGTCTAGATTGGTTTTTGGTGGCTACGGAGGCTTCTGGCGGCGGAACTCCCGATCTAATCTCTGTTTTGGAAGTTTTAGGGTACGACGATATATATGGGTGCAGGAAGTACGTCGGAGGAGCCACGGGGGCCCCATGAGGCAGGGGGGCGCGCCCTAGAGGGGTGGGCGCGCCCCCACCCTCGTGGGCAGCCCGTGTCTCCCCTGATGTGCACTCCAAGTTCCCTGGGTTGCTTCCTTCCAAAACAACTTCTCCAGTTGATTTCGTTCCGTTTCGACTCCGTTTGATATTCCTTTTCTTTGAAACACTGAAATAGGCATAAAACAGCAAATCTGGGCTGGGCCTCCAGTTAATAGGTTAGTCCCAAAAGTAATATGAAAGTGGATAATAAAGCCCAATATTGCCCAAAACAGTAGATAATATAGCATGGAGCAACCAAAAATTATAGATACGTTGGAGACGTATCACCATCCCGCTGCCAGACAACCTCATCATGTACGTAGGAATAGATGCGTACGCCACGTACAAGTCATGGAAGACAATCGACAACATCATGACAGGTTGGGATATTTCAGAAGAGCAGGAAGCTGACCCCTACTACCACTGCAACTTCGCGGGATGAGGACGCATGAAAGTCTGCATTTGTGTTGCTCGCACTTCTGCCTGTCCTTAATATTGTTGTTTCAGATTTGTAGTTTGCTTTCGTTATGTTGAACCAGCTACCTTATGTTATGTGTGTCAGGGTTTGAACAAGTTTGCCTATTTATATCATGTACATCGTTTGCTTATGTCAATCAACAAGTTTGCTAGCTTCCTATTTTTGTTCATCCACCATTTGAAGTTGAAGTAGGTTGAAGTTGAAACTAGTCATGCAGAAACAAAAAATCATACATGGATATTTTCACAAAAAAACAAAAACAATGGCAGACTAACTAAGGACAACAACAAAATAGTAGAATTGGACGCTCAGTACAGCTTAGACATTTACGGTAGTACTATCACACTAAGAAAATTCAGTTTTTAGTTTCAGAAGAACACTAAAAAGACTAAGTTTCAGCCGAGGACTACTAACAACATCATGCTAATAGTAGTTAGAAATTTACTAAGTACTGCAACAGGAAAACACTACAAGGATTCCGGTCTATTGCAACAAAAATTATTGCTACAACTATCTTTTGTTGCAATAAAATGCTATATTTCCACAAAGTTCCAGTTCGTGGTAATAGGATCTACATATTGCCACAATTTTGTTTCATCGCGCTAATTACTCGTTTTGTTGCAATAGAAACCATGTATTGCCACAAGCTGCATCGTCATTGTAATATGGTAGTGATATTGCGACCGTCATGTCCTGTTGCGTATCCTTACTCAATGCATGGCGCGGTTTCCTCACAGTTTGTTATTATGAAATGCCTCATTTGATTAATATCAGCCAAAGACAATGATTCACAAACAAAACCTTTCTTGGAGTAATCAACTGTACTCATTATGCTAATCCCTGTTGGTGATTGATCAGTACCTCCATCTTCATGACGTTTGGACTGACTTAGCTTGGTAGGCATTCCAACAATGAATCGACTGCAAAAAGTCATGCACTCTTCAAGTATGTACCCCTCTACAATAGAACCTTCTGGTTGAGCCTTGTTACGCACAATCAGTACACATTTCCAAGCCACTAGCATGCTAGGACAGAGAGTTCTGGTACGCTTGAACAAAACGGTACATTCATTCTACAAAAATATAAAAAGGAACGGGAAGCTTCAGTTCACATTCCATAAAACATTGACACACTCAAGAATAACACTAATAGTACAACTGAAATGTCAGTACAACTTAGTCTGTAAGGCAAGTACTATGATCATACAAAACATTGCCTTGAGAAGAACCACAACCTAGAAAATAGGTCACCCCCCGGAGACATATTTAAATGTAGCTAATTTAAACCAGTATTTAAATTTTACTATGAAGTTCAACTACTACAATTCAAGAAGTTCAAACAAAAATTTGGCTCTCAAATCTTGCTAAATTTCTTATACTTGAATAAAATCTGGCTAGAGATGACGTAGCTACTTGGTCATAAATAAGTTCAATGATGTCTACTACACAACCTTCTTCTTGTAGACGTTGTTGGGCCTCCAAGTGCAGAGGTTTGTAGGACAGTAGCAAATTTCCCTCAAGTGGATGACCTAAGGTTTATCAATCCGTATTAGGCATAGGATGAAGATGGTCTCTCTCAAGCAACCCTGCAACCAAATAACAAAGAGTCTCTTGTGTCCCCAACACATCCAATACAATAGTAAATTGTATAGGTGCACTAGTTCGGCGAAGAGATGGTGATACAAGTGGTATATGGATGGTTGATAAAGGTATTTGTAATCTGAAAATATAAAAACAGCAAGGAAACTAATGATAAAAGTGAGCGTAAACGGTATTGCAATGCTAGGAAACAAGGCCTAGGGTTCATACTTTCGCCAGTGTAAGTTCCCTCAACAATAATAACATAATTGGATCACATAACTATCCCTCAACATGCAACAAAGAGTCACTCCAAAGTCACTAATAGCAGAGAACGAACGAAGAGATTATGGTAGGGTACAAAACCACCTCAAAGTTATTCTTTCCAATCAATCCATTGGGCTATTCCTATAAGTGTCACAAACAGCCCTATAGTTCGTACTAGAATAACACATTAAGACACAAATCAACCAAAACCCTAATGTTACCTAGATACTCCAATGTCACCTCAAGTATCCGTGGGTATGATTATACGATATGCGTCACACAATCTCAGATTCATCTATTCAACCAACACAAAGGACCTCAAAGAGTGCCCCAAAGTTCCTACTGGAGAATCACGACGAAAACGTGTGCCAACCCCTATGCATAGGTTCATGGGCGGAACCCTCAAGTTGATCATTAAAACATACATCAAGTGAATCACGTGATATCCCATTGTCACCACAGATATCCACGACAAGACATACATCAAGTGTTCTCAAATCTTTAAAGACTCAATCCGATAAGATTACTTCAAAGGGGAAACTCAATTCATTACAAGAGAGAAGAGGGGAAGGAGAAACATAAGATCCAACTATAATAGCAAAGCTCGCGATACATCAAGATCGTATCACCTCAAGAACATGAGAGAGAGATCAAACACATAGCTACTGGTACATACCCTCAGCCCCGAGGGAGAACTACTCCCTCCTCGTCATGGAGAGAAATGGGATGATGAAGATGGCCACCAGAGAAGGATTGCCCCCTCCGGCAGGGTGCCGGAATGGGTCTAGATTGGTTTTCGGTGGCTACGGGGTCTTCTGGCGGCGGAACTCCCGATCTAATGTCTGTTCTGGAAGTTTTAGGGTACGTGGAGTTATATAGGCGGAAGAAGTACGCCAGGGGAGCCACGAGGGCCCCACGAGGCAGGGGCGCGCCCTAGGGGGGTGGGCGCGCCCCCACCCTCGTGGCTTCCTCGTTCCTTCCTTGAAGTGAGGTTCAAGTCCATAGGGTGGCTTTCGTTCCAAAAATAACTTCTCTAGTTGATTTTGTTCCGTTTCGACTCCGTTTGATATTCCTTTTCTTCAAAACATTGAAATAGGCAAAAAACAGCAAATCTGTGCTGGGCCTCCGGTTAATAGGTTAGTCCCAAAAGTAATATAAAAGTGGATAATAAAGCTGAATATTGCCCAAAAAAGTAGATAATATAGCATGGAGCAATAAATAATTATAGATACATTGGAGACGTATCAAGCATCCCGAAGCTTAATTCTTGCTCATCTTCGAGTAGGTAAATGATAAAAGAAAGAATTTTTGATGTGGAATGCTAGTTGGCATAATATAAAAGTGGATAATAAAGCCTAATATTGCCCAAAAAAGTAGATAATATATCATGGAGCAATCAAAAATTATAGATACGTTGGAGACGTATCAAGCATCCCCAAGCTTAATTCCTGCTCATCCTCGAGTAGGTAAATGATAAAAGAAAGAATTTTTGATGTGGAATGCTAGTTGGCATAATTTCAATGTAATTATTCTTAATTGTGGTATGAATATTCAGATCCATAAGATTCAAGACAAAAGTTCATATTGACATAAAAATAATAATACTTCAAGCATACTAACTAAGCAATCATGTCTTCTCAAAATAACATGGCCAAAGAAAGTTATCCCTACAAAATCATATAGTTTGGCTATGCTCTATCTTCACCACACAAAATATTTAAATCATGCACAACCCCGATGACAAGCCAAGCAATTGTTTCATACTTTCAATGTTCTCAAACTTTTTCAATCTTCACGCAATACATGAGCGTGAGCCATGGACATAGCACTATAGGTGGAATAGAATGGTGGTTGTGGAGAAGACAAAAAGGAGAAGATAGTCTCACATCAACTAGGCGTATCAATGGGCTATGTAGATGCCCATCAATAGATATCAATGTGAGTGAGTAGGGATTGCCATGCAACAGATGCACTAGAGCTATAAGTATACGAAAGCTCAAAAGAAACTAAGTGGGTGTGCATCCAACTTGCTTGCTCATGAAGACCTAGGGCAATTTGAGGAAGCCCATCATTGGAATATACAAGCCAAGTTCTATAATGAAAGATTCCCACTAGTATATGAAAGTGATAACATGAGAGACTCTCTACAATGAAGATCATGGTGCTATTTTGAAGCACAAGTGTGGTAAAAGGATAGTAACATTGTCCCTTCTTTCTTTTTCTCTCATTTTTTTATTTTTTTATTTGGGCCTTCTCCTTTTTATGGCCTCTTTTCTCTTTTTTATTTGGGCTTCTTTGGCCTCTTTTATTTATTTATTTTCGTCCGGAGTCTCATATCGACTTGTGGGGGAATCATAGTCTCCATCATCCTTTCCTCACTGGGACAATGCTCTAGCCTCTAATAATGATGATCATCACACTTATTTTTCTTACAACTCAAGAATTACAACTCGATACTTAGAACAAGATATGGCTCTATATGAATGCCTCTGCCGTGTACCGGGATGTGCAATGATGCATGAGTGACATGTATGAAAGAATTATGAACGGTGGCCTTGCCACAAATACAATGTCAACTACATGATCATGCAAAGCAATATGACAATGATGAAGCGTGTCATAATAACGGAACAGTGGAAAGTTGCATGGCAATATATCTTGAAATGGCTATGGAAATGCCATGATAGGTAGGTATGGTGGCTGTTTTGAGGAAGGTATATGGTGGGTTTATGGTACCGACGAAAGTTGCGTGGTACTAGAGAGGCTAGCAAAGGTGGAAGGGTGAGAGTGCGTATAATCCATGGACTCAACATTAGTCATAAAGAACTCACATACTTATTGCAAAAATCTATTAGTTATCGAAACAAATTACTATGCGCATGCTCCTAGGGGGATAGATTGGTAGGAAAAGACCATTGCTCGTCCCCGACCGCCACTCATAAGGAAGGCAATCAATAAATAAATCATGCTCCGAGTTCATCACATAACGGTTCACCATACG